AATATTTTATTTCAGAGAAATATTCTATATATAAATGAATATTTGATTAGTAGCAAGTGGGTCGGTGCTCTAAAAGTGTGGATTGGTTTTGATTGAATGTATACATCCTGAATCACAGATACACTTACAGCCATAATCAAGTACGATGCCCCCCCCACCCCACCCCCCCCCCCCCCCCCCCCCTCCCCCCCCCCCCCCCCCCCCCCTCTTTCGTTCATATCCCTTCTCAAGATTCGGATATCGGTTGCTTGTAGACGTGATCTATTTTGCTTAGCGATTATTCATTGTTGCTGACCATCTGTGAATATGGAGCGAATGACTACGTTTCAGTTCGGTGTCATTGTCATGAATTATGACAATTCATCTAACAATGTTAATTTTGTCGTGCATCTTATGATTGGCGTTGGACGAAGATAAGCATGAATATTCACTACTTTCATCAGTTGCCACAATTTTTGTTTTGATTTATATATATATATTTATCATTAAACGGAAAAAAATTAGACTGAAGGCATGTATTGACTTGAACATGAGGGCAAGAACGACGGTTAGCAAAGGCGAACAGATTAGGGTTGGAGTGACTGGTTAGAAGTATGCCTCTCTTTTAATACAGTTAAAACCTATTGTAAAGTATCAATAGATACATCCAGATAAATCCAATAAACCTCCCGACACATTAGAAGACTCCGTATAATACAAGACCTCTCATAACAGAAGACTCCCTTTGCTGAATGAAGCAAAAGACATATTAGAAGACACCCCTCAGAGAATTGATTTTTTCAAAACAACTCCTGAAGTTTAGTGACATTTTTAGTATTAAATCCATAATGATATCTAAGTTCAGTTTGAGCAATATTTCACTTTCGTCGTGATAACAATGTGTCAGTTCTGAGTTAGAAAAATCTTGAAAAACAGCTAATAGGAAACAACTGTCTGTAAAATAATAGTGTTTTGAAAACATATCGTGGAGTTATTTTAATGCTTCTTTGCAGCTTACTCCGGAAAAATTCGTTGATTTCTCTATGCGTAAAACCTTCCTATGATCATAAGATCTAGTGGGCTGAGTGCACATTTGCGGGTGTAGTACATGAAGAGATCTTTGTAAAATAGTAATATATTAGATAAAATTTTGTTTTGTATTAATTAAAAAGCTTCTTCATCTGTAACTTTCTTATAGAGATTCAGAAACGTCTTTATCCCAAAACAGATTTTCATAATTGAAGAAAGCTTAACTTCACCTATACACGCCAGAGTTGGTTCTGTGAGTACTTATGAGTCTGAGAACCCATTTCTTTTTTCAATACAATCTAAAGGTATTTTTCGAAACAAACACTAAAGAAAACGCAGAATGTGTATTCAACTGCTGTTGTTCTACAAACTGTTTCTTCACAAGACAACCGTATTCGTTGAAGTTAGCTTGCGACCAATAGCTATGTTAGTGGTAGACTTCATCAAGTACGAATTAACACCGTGCTAATCGAACCTCAACATAAACAACTGGCTTAAGTAAATCCAGCAAAAAAAATTAATTTTCTTTTTTCAGTTATTTAGTTATTTAGAAGGTTAAATGTTACCAGTGACAATATAATTCTTTAGAAAAAAGAATTCTATTGGACATTGTGTCAAGATGTTAGGAAGTGTTGTCTGTATTGTTCTAAGAACACTTAATAATGATGACCTCGTTCTTGTTCACACGGTAATATGTTTCTTTCTCATTCTATCCATGAGGAATAAATAAAAGAAACTCGTTTACTAACGATGTATCAGGCAAAATTGACTGAAACTAAAACTTGTTGGCGACATTGCCAAAAATAGCTTTTTTTAAGGGACATATTAGAAGCCCCCCCCTCCTTGTAATTTATGAATAAACAAGACAAAATAGAAGATATCGGGTCTTCTAATGTGTCGGGGACTTTACATTCCATTATCACTGCGCCTATATCCAGGAAGATCATTCCAACAGCCAAAACGATCTGAAATACTGTCAAGCAGTGCATTGCTGCAATAAGTTTTATTGTAATTCACAATAATTCATCATCCTATTTGACGAACCGTTTGTTTCGCTAGCAAAACGACCATCGTTTTTTTTTTCTATTATGTTCTCCATTTTATGAAATTAGATTTAAATGTCAATTTTGTTCTTTCACTATGTACAATTACACAACTAACATAATGTTGTCGTCTGCCGTCCTTCATTCACTTATTCATGACAACATGACAAAAAAAACACGTTTCATTCTTAATCATATCGCACTTGAAATTTTGTTTTGTTTTGTTCTAATTGAAACATTTTTTACAAACATATGTACACATGGCATCCGTAAAAGTAAACAGATCACTATGTAGTATATGTGGTAAGGTGCCCAGTCTATCTTTTTGTGTTGGATGTCAAAGAGTTTTTTGTACGGATCATGTCGAACAACATCGATTAGAATTATCAACTTTATTAGATAAAATTATTTTGGAGCACGGTCAATGTAAACAGACAATTATACAATATACTGAAGAATCAAATAGTCATCCATTAATGAAACAAATCAATGAATGGGAAAAACAATCAATCGAGAAGATTCAACAAGTAGCTGTAGATGCTCGAAAACAAGTATTAAATGCATTTGCATATTTTGCTTCGAATGCAATAACAACAATAAAAAATTTAACAGAAGAATTAACAAAAGCTCAAAATGAAGATAATTTTTTTGAATCAGATTTAAAACAATGGATGGATACACTTATTAAAATAAAGAAAGAATTAGATAAACCACCTACAATTAATATTCGAAAAGGTGGAACTGATGTTCCATTTATCTCTAAGATTATGGTTAGTGTTAGTGAAATCTTTGAAAAATCAGCAGGAAGAATTTCTATTAAAGATGAAGGTAAACTTATTGTTAATATTGGATCAAATGGTTATGGAACAGTTCGTAGTAAAGGTGAATATTCAACAGGAAAACATCGATTTCGTTTTAAAATTGAACATACTAGTACACATAAATGGAATTTAATTGGAATCGTTTCAAAAAATTCATCATTACAAGCAACAGCATACAATACTCCAACAAGTTTCGGTTGGATTGCTAATAATTTTGTATGTTTAAATGGTAAATTATTTTCTGATTTTAATGGATATAAAAGTGATATAGAAAAAAATGATATAATTGAATTATTTATTGATTGTAATCGACATACGATTCGTTTAACAAATGAACGTACACATTATACACATGAACTAACAATCGATGCTGCTTTGTGTCCATTTCCATGGCAAATACAACTTGGTCTTTATTATGCAAAAGATCGTATTCGTTTGTTATGGAGATAACTGCAATTTAAAGTAACAATCAATAAATATTTTATAATTAACATTATTCTTGTTGAAAAATATTTTTTTTAAGTAAAATTTGACGACATAATGAAAACAAAAACAAAAAAGCAAATATTTCATATGAAAAAATGTTAAAATGATCTGCAAAATTTCAGAATATATCTTCTATTTCTGTATGTTTGTTTCAAATATACTCGACATGGATTTTGAACAATATGACTCAATTGTTTCGAGTTTAAATTTGTTGAGTGATATCAGAATTTCTTCATATTTTTTTCAATTATACTTCTACAAAAAATAAGCGTGAGTTACTGATATGAACTTTAAACTATTTAATTGAGGATTTTTTTTCGTCATGTCCTTATAGACCGTAGAATAAATATACGCTAACTTATAATGATGAGACGATAATGAAAAATGAAATCGAGCACAAAACATAATTTTGACACGATTGAATAATAGGAGTATATGTAACATATATTTTGTATATAAATTGATACTTCTCTTCTATACATCAAAAAGCGTGTTTGTTGAAAAAAGTTCATCATTTTTTTCTGACGTTGTGTATCACATGTCAATGAGTCCAACATTCAGATCCATCGACTTTCAACCGACGAATGTTAAAAGCTGGAAGTCACAAATCCAGTAATCGAATTCGATGATCGACTCTGCCCGATTATAGTCGGTTCCGATCAAAGCTGAAAACATACTCATCTAAGTAACTATAATAAATGAATATTTAACCATACTCATCTTTCAAGTCAATACTTTGCTCTTCAATAGACTACTGCCATTTTTAATTGCGCAAAGAGAATCATATTCTCTAACTATTGCTTGTTCCTGTATTTTTGAACTTATACAATTACTTGTTTCAGTACGAAGATTTAATACAATGGCAGAAATAATATTAGCATCGAGTTGCGATTATAGAATGACTTGTGTATCCTCTTCTCTATAGACTGGTCACGAGGAGCGCTAATGCAGTTCACTGCACACGTGTTTGAGAGCACAAGACTTCTATTTTTGTTCGATCAATTGACATCAGTTTATTTCGATGCCTAATAGAACAATTCCAAGGCTGACTCTTGGATGTCTGTCGATTGATTCATTTCTTTTCTTAACGCTCGAATTGGATGATCTAAGTCGTAGCAGTGATCATTGGTCGTCTGAGTGGATTGACTATTCTTCTTTGTCTCTTGATATCACTCGTCGTACAAATAATGCGCCGCATTTACAATTATTGTCATCAATGCAAGCGTCAGAATGCACACAACAATAGGGAATTATGAATCTCTTCGAAAAAAAGTGACAAAAGAAGTTGAAATTCTAGATGACTTGCCTCGTCGTATTTGTTGACTAAGCATTCGGTCAAGCCTGCTACCATTGAGCTTGTTCGAAAGAGAAGAGCTGATTTATTTCAACAGTTCTCATGAAAGATTATGATCTGTTCTGGTAGTTCATGTGAGACGAGCTGAATCCTATAGAAAGTTCGACTTTTTCCCAGCTAACTGGGTTTCATTGTTGCCATTCTTGATTCTACACAACAAACAACAGCTTGAAAATAGTCACGTTTCCACAGACAGTATAGTAGTCTATGCACATATCCTGATATCCATTTGAGTAAAACTTGCATTCGACATCGAAATTCATATCTATACACTGAAATTAGCAACTTTTATGTCGTGGCGGAAGTCACAATGTCTGACACCTATAGGAAGATTAGTGAGTTGATGGCATATAGATGTGTCTATTCCTCAGTAGTGAACACCTCTCATAAGTGGTACCATTTTGCGAAGGTTATGAAAATATAACGAAAGTAATCAAATCGATGAGACACAGTCGATTTTTCATAAAAATGACTAATACATGTTGGATTCGGTACAATTCAACAATAGAATCGTTCTTGATATGACAACCTTCAATCAATAAGTACATGAATCAGGATTTTTTCCAGTACCATATCTATTTTGATTAGGTATGCACCAGTTTCAGTCACGACTGAACCCCTAGTCCGGCCCGGAGTCTATGACGATTGTGTGTAAGACAGTTGTGTATAGATGCAGACAATTGTGCGCATGAACAATTGTGTGAACGGATAAGGGTGTGGCTTTGGGATGTGTGGCATAACGTGTGGATGTGGGATATGGGTGTTAGTCTGCACTCTAAAAAACAGGTTTATTACGGAACCTGTGTCCAGGGGAAGAACCTTTAAGGCTTCGTATGAATCTACCAAACCTAAAGAAGATTCGAATATTTTTCCAAAAACATTTTAAAATTCGGTAGATTCATACGAAACCTCAAAGATTCTTCCCCTGGACAAAGGGTCCGTAATAAACCTATTTTTTTAGAGTGTGGGATATGAGCATGAGTCTGAGGTATAGTTGTGGATGCGAGGATAATAAAAAGATGAAGTACATTCACCTCCAGTCACATACCGGCACCCATCCACCCTCACACCACATCCGCACCCCGCATCTCAAACCACACCCGCACCTACACTCACACCCACATTCACATCCACACCCTTCGCCCAAAGATTTTTGGGGTCAAGAAATCCAAATTTTGCAATTAGTTTCTTAAAATGTTGAGTTTAACTTCTTTACTAAAAATACTTTTGCTAAAGAATACTTTTAGTAAACATGTCAAACTCAAAATTTTAAGAAACTGATTGAAGATTCGGATTTCTCAACCCTGAAAACTTTTGGTGAAATATTTTTAAAAAGATGTTATTTCGTTAAAAAACCCTTTCTTTAGTGAAAAAATCAACTATATAATTTCTATACACTGATTGTAGATTTGGATTCTGTAACGACAAACCAGATGTGTAGCTTGCCGCCTCTCTCAGCAATAATGTTTGTTAAGCTATTTCACACGTAACACACGCCTATCTAAGAGAGAAAACGGAAAGAAAGAAAGAGAAATAGAGATTATCGCAGAAAAGAACAATAAAGAGAGATAAAGAGGAAAGAGGATAGGAAGATCGGTGGGCAGTGATATCAATATCGGCACAGATTCCTCGACTCCAAAAACTTTTGATTGAAAGCAAAAATATTGATTATCCAATTAGTTCTAGATCAGTTTACTGGACGTCCATTAGTGCAAGATACCCAGTCCTTCTGGACTGATGCATCTCTAGTTTTGATACACTTCTTATACCTTGAAAGATGTACTACGATTATTGCTTGAGCATCTGTTGTTTTTTTCCAAGTACTGAATGAATCATGATGCAAACAAGGAAGAAGGATTGAAAAAATGGTCCTACTCCCGTCGACAACTACAAGTGCACACAGCGTGTATATATAAATATAATCGAAGAAAACAATAATGCATTGTATATTAAATTTCGCTCTTGCGTTGTTGAAAAGAAAAGACAATATTGTGCGTTCTATCATTCAAACAGATTCGACAAACTTTGTAGATTACATCTGATAAAAAGAAACGAAATGTATCAGTTCAAACGATCATCGGAGTTTAGTGAAAATTTGAGTGTTGAACCGAAAAAAATACGAAGTAGGTTTTCATCTTGTATACCTATAAGATAAATGTTTTTCTTCTTTTTTTCTTAGTAACATTTGATGATGAAAAGTAAGCGAATCGTTTTTTTTTCCATTATGTTATATTGACTTAATGTCTTGTAGCAACAGAATTACCTATTTCGAACATTTATCAGATGAAGTTTTCTATGAAATATTTGAATATATTGATGGATGGAATATTTATAAAGGATTTTTCAATCTTAATTCTCGTTTTCAAAATCTTATCATTCACTCGCCAATACCATTTAAGATTAAACTTTATTCTTTATCACAATCAGAAGTCAAACATTATTGTAACAATGTTATTGTTTCAAACAAACATTGTATTATTTCACTTTATTTTGAGAACGAATCATTCATCAATGAGCTTTTTATATATTGTGTAATCGATTCATCATTTGATCGTCTGGAGTCAATTTTTCTTGGTGAAATCTCATTCGATCAACTTATGACGCTTTTCTTTTATTTAAAATCTCTTCCTCGACTCTTTTCATTGACCATACATCCTGATGCGGAATGGGGCTATGATTTAAGTACTACCTATCGAATGATTTTCTCATTACCTACATTGAAATACAATAAATTATCATTATTCTCAGATGTAGATGAGGACTTAAATTTCTTTGTACCACTTGCTATCAATGAACCGTTTAGCGCTATCGAATATTTAATTATGGATCATAATTGTAGTTTAAATGAACTATTTTCTATGTTTCGCCATACACCCCAACTACGTCATTTATCTTGTCAAAACTTAATAGAATCGGAAAGTAGTATTGATACGAAAAAATCAGTGATATTGTCTAATTTAACATATCTTAGGATTGGTAACTCTCAAATAGGATTTGATGAATTTGAAATGTTTATAGCCGAAATATCTTCGCCATTGCAAGTATTGAATATCAGACAATATATGGGTGAAGATTATCTTGATGCTGATCGCTGGGAACAATTAATCAAAATATACATACCTCATTTGCGCAGATTCGACTACGAATATTATCAACTATTTATGCCTGGATATGAAGAGACTTTTTTATATAAGAATATCAATCGATTTTCTTCACCGTTTTGGATTGAACGACAATGTTTCTTCGAAGTCAAAATAAAAGATAATGATATGATTTATGCAATTCATCCCTATAAGTATATATTGAAAAGACTTTTTCTATCGATGAAACCATTTTTCTTTTCAGGAACTTATGTCTTGATATTTATAAACATGCACAAATTGCCAAGCATTTTAATCAAAATATTGCTTACAATTCTACTCAACATTTTGTCATGCTCAATCAACAAGATATTGACAAGCCTTCAACACTGTTCATTCCAACAAGTCAACTTAGTATTAATGGCATTTCTTCTGCAGAGCGAAGTCAATCATTTATTGATAAGTTCAAATCTACTTTTGTTGCTGCTCAATTTACTCGTCTGAATATTAACTGCACAGAGATTCCTATTGGAATATTAGTTAATATTCTATATATATTACCTAATCTTGATTCATTAAAAGTAACATCCTTACCATTTATTGAAGAAGACTGTTTATTTGATAACGATGGAGAGATGCGTTATTTAACATCGATCAGTAACAAGATCACAAAAGTCAATCTCGAGAGCACGAGTGATATCAGTCAAGTGCATTTTCTTCTCTATCTCTGTATTTGTGTGCAATATTTTCAAGTGGATGTTCCAGAGAACATGAATCTCGAAATGCTCGTACGAGTTATTTTAACAAAAATCGAATATTACATTCCTCAACTCCGATCTCTGTGTCTTCATATTCTAAATGCTAATGAAGAAATAATTTATCAATTACAAAAACTGATCGATACCGAACACTTACTAACTAACTATATAATCAAACGTATTTATAATAATATTTTTTTGAAATGGAATTGATTTTGATTTATCTCGTGTGATATTACCCTAAGAATGATGAAGACACACATTTTCATCATTTACTGATTAAATAGAACATAAAATTTATTTTCTTGATGTAAATATTAACTATTAAATTTTGTGAATAGATATGATCACAGATATTGATGTGCAAGAGTTTTATGCAATAAATAAATAAATCAACTTTTTTTCTGTTAAATCTATTGATTTATTCAGTTTTCTATTCGACAATCAAATAAATTATTATACATGTTTCATTTAAAAAAGAACGAATGCAAGAAGCAGAAGAAAACGAATTTATATTCATGTTTATCTCGATACACATCGATATCGATTTTTATTTTCTTATAGATTATTGCAGAAAGAAAAATTTGTGCGTCTTATCAAATATTTTTCAATTGCGCCTGATTTTTTTTTTATAAACATATATCAAATCAGGTGACAATCCGAATTCGAAAAATCTTCGATCATCAAGACAAAGAAATGATGAAGTAAATAATATATTGAATAAATATTCAGAATAACTTATTCTTTTGTTATTATTACATGAATATTATTATCAAAATGTTATTATTTCACATAAACATCGTACTATTTCACTTTATTTGAAGGATGAATTTACTTACGAAGAATTTTTGTCACTTATATCGCTTTAAAATCCCAATTATTACGATTTAATTTATTTATTTAAATGTTAATTGCAAGTAGATTCCTCTAGAAATATTAATTAGTATTATTCAATTATTAAGGTAGGAATAATGCAAACTTAATGCAAATTTTTTTTCGTTTTTTTACATGAGTAGATAGAGCTTGTCGAGCTGAGTACAAATATATATATAATTCTTTTTGAAAGGCTTTTGATAAAAAAAATTAGAGTTTTTCTCGATAGTATTTTTTATGACTCATTTTTTTTTTAAAAAGTTAGTGCATTTTAAAGTTTTGTCAATAAAAAAAAAAATTTTTTCATTTCGTTGACATTGTAAAACTAATATATTCAGATTCCTCTTGATAAACTGTGTCTATGACACTTATTTCGAAATAAATATCATAGACACAGTTTCTCATGAGGAATCTGAGTATATTAGTTTTATAACGTCAACGAAATGAAAATTTTTTTTTTTATTGACAAAACTTTAAAATGTACTGACCTTTTAGACAAAAAAATGAGTCATAAAAAAATACTATCGAGAAAAGCTCGAATTTTTTTATCAAAAGCCTTTCAAAAAAAAATTATTTATATATTTTTACTCAGTTCGACAAGCTCTATCTACCCATGTAAAAAAAAAGCGAAAAAAAAATTGCCTTAATTTCGCATTATTCCTACCTTACCTAATCTAGACTTTTTAAAAGTATCATGTTTGTCGCTTAGAAAATTAGGCTGCTCATCTATTAAAGATTTAGCAACTGTTCTTAAAGTGCTAGTCAATAAAAAAATTACAAAATATAGTAATTAAAGTCAGTACATGCATTCCTCATCTCTATTCGTTGTCTTTATGTTAAAAATTACAAAAAAATGATCAATATTGAGAAAGTATTAGCTAATTATATGATGAAATATACTTGTAGTAATATTATTTTGAAATGAAATTGATCTTGATTTATCTAATGTGATGTTATTTTCATCATTTATAGAACTATAAAATTTTAATGATTGATATGTTTTAAACCTGTTATGTTCTATTGATTATTGTTCATTGAGTAACCTATGCATAAACTCAGCTAGTTATTTTCAGTTTATTCGTTTTACCTCATACTAGAATTTTCTATCAGAAATTACTTGAAAAACTGTTGTGCCAGAGTTTCAATAACGAAAAATGTTTTTTTTCTGATCAATCTGTTCATTTATTTGGTTTCATCGAACAATTAAATGATTCACGGATCATTTTATAGTCACTCATTGGCAAGCTCGTATTGAATAAATAATGAAATAAAACCTCTGCTGTGTTGTGCTGCTTATTGTGATGAACTGTAATAGAGAATCGATGTATATGCTTATACATATATATTTACAGTCTACCGTTGCAGATAGGATTTGATTTTTAATTAGACATAAATTCAATTAAACAGCAATTAAGTATTAATCAATTACCAAATGAAGAGATAGAAAAATGATCAGAAAAGTTTAATATTGTTTAATATGATAAAATAATTATTTATTTTTCTTTTTAGAAATAATTGGTCATAATAAAAAAGTATTTTTATTGCATTATATATTTTCTACCAAATATAGTAAATCAATAGCATTCATCGAAAATTTATTAAGTGAAATTTTCTTGAAAATTTTTATGCATTTCGGTGGTTATGATATAATCGACGCTTTTTCAAATGTTAATTTCCATTCTGATAATCTTTCCAGTAATTCACTTCTTTTACTCAAAATCAAATTTTGTTTTCAACCAGAACGATCACTTAGACATAGTCAAGCTCATTCTCCAAGGACAGCAGTTCATAGCTCCAGTTTTTTCTGCATCACTGAAAGTTTTTTTGAGCTAATGTCTATTTAGAATATTATCGAAAGATGAAGTTTTTCCGTATAATAATCTTCAAAGTGCTTTTCTTTTTTACTTTTGCTAATCTTACTATGATTGAAGTAAATGTGTGATTAGAGGTGTTAGCCGATCCTTTTATCGGCGGCGGCGGTGAAATCCTTCGTATATCATTTCACAGTCTTTCCGTGGAATCCTACTACTGAGGCAAACATTAGACATTCAGTTCTTACAGAAATATAACGTTGTATACTTGCAACGTGGATCTCTCCTTTTCTAAAAGGGTTTTCCGCTATACTTCAGTTTATTTTGTCATACCTGGGAAATACGGTGCTTCTTTCAATTCTTCGTTGAGATGATCCATGTACGTGTCGTGTAATTTGTTTAAATGAAAAGGATTGAGTGTCGTGCGAGAAGGAATATCGTCGACAGTGTTGACAATACCGTATGCCATCAAAAAATCTTGGAAGCCTTCATTTGATATAATAGAAAATGGTAGTAGATCACGACAGCACATTAATGTTAAATCAGAAGTAAGCCGTTCTTTACGATCTTTGTTCGATTTCGTTGTTGCATATGTTGACAGTTTGAAGAAGTTTGAAACATGCTCAGCAGTGGTTTTCACTTGTTCTTTCCTAACGATTCCGTGTTTCGTAGAAAGATGTAAAAGCATATTTCCAGTGCTCACGTTCTCAATGTAATGAGTGAGTTGTTTCTGTATCGTTAATGACGACAATGGATCATCAGGATGTTCATCGAGTTATTTGTCAAAGCAAATTTTGCAATAAATAGTATAGTTATCGATCGCTTGTTTCGTTTTTAAGGATGTCAGTTGACCAAAGTATGATCATGCAAGAGATTGGCCGGTCTTGAAAGAATGAAGTGTGATATAAACATCTCGAACACAGTGCGTCATCCTAGCGGAGTAATCAGTTTTTCTTCACTTGCCAGATATAATACAATGTTAGCAATAATGTCAGTTGTGTCAATGAATGCGTAATGCGAACGCAACTATTTATATGTTTCATACCTTTTTGTTCTGTTGCCTAATTGATTATTTAGAAAAGGAAAAAGTTTGAACTATACATTCATTCAATCGACGGCGGCGGCGGCGGCGAAAAATTCCTCGCCGGAACATCCTCCTCGGCGGCGGCGGCGGATGAAAATTTTATCGACGGCGAGAAATCGGCGACTAACACCTCTATGTGTGGTTATATAGAATATATACTTGCCACAATCATCGATTAGATACGATTGTTTAATGACATTAAAACATATCATAGGCTTTAGAAAGTCGAGTTTGACTAAGGAAATGATTTCCAAATATTTCTATGTTCTCTCTGCCTGTAATAGACCGTTTTATACCATAACAATTTAGGTTTGTCTTTGCAGCTTTTGGTGTCGATGTTGTATAAGGCATGGGCAACATGTAAAGAAAACTATTTTAACATGATCGAAACATCATTTATAATCAAACAGTAGTGTCTGTATTTCCAATGACACTTTGAACGTCGTGTCGCTTGCAAAGAAAAGTGCAGCATCAGCTCTTTACAACACTGCTCAGGTATTTAGGAGAATAGCAATATGAGGGTGGTGTGGGTATCTGAGTGTAGATGCGCGATTTAGGATGTCGGTCAGGGCACACAAAACATCCACGTTAACATACTCTCGAAACGTTGTTTTGCGATGAATTGTCCATGAGACGGATTGTTCTAGTATCCATCGAAATTTCACTGATAGTTCGCTTGAAAATACGAAACCGTGTGAGATCTTTATCCAGTTTTTAGTCTATTCATGAACTTGTCTATGTATATTCATCTGTTCGCAAGAAAAAAAACATGGCATATAGAGTGATAAGAAGACTCCATAGAACAATATAAAAGAAAGAAGAGCAGAAGGCAACGAAAAAAATCGTTTACGCATGGCTAAGAACGTGAGTGCATAAGTACAATTATACAGATAAAGATGAAAAACTCTCATGACTACATCTAGAAAGATGAGGTCGTAACAAACACTTGATTAATAGACTCCTGTACATTAGAATTATAGTAGTTTTCTTTTTTGAGATTGTTTTATGATATTTATTGATTCGATTACTTTTCTTGCTAATATCCGACAAAATATTATCAATAAACAGATACTAATACTTGCATATTCTAATAAATTCATGTAGCAATGTAAATACAGCACTTCAGAAGATATAGATACATATTTACTTCACAAACTATTTATTCAGTTTTATTCTATTTTAATGTTCACAATAAAGATTTATTATTTTATTCTATCATATTTGAGTTTATTTAATCATTAAATCAAATCAAATAATGAAAATTAAACTAAAAAGACTAAAAATGCATTCTCAGCTTCTAGAGCAAAATTTTGATTTAATTCAGCTTTTTACATTCATCTGGCATATCGAATACACGTGGATCATCGATTTCTGGTGCAAAATCTGTTGTTGTCATTGTACTTACTCCAGCTAAAGAAGAACAAAACAAATGTTATTATACGGATTTTAGATTTAAAAACCTGTATATATTAACCTGGTGTTCGAGCAAAAATGTTTCCAGTTAATGGAACACAAAGGCCATCACGACTAACTGTTACATAATTAAGATTTCTATTATTATTGATAATCCATGTATCAGCAACAATTTTCTTATCACCATATCCATATCTAGATGAACCAAAATATTCTGCAGTATCTATAATCAATTAACAAAATAAAATCATTAATTTTTGTTTGCACGGAAAGAAAAAAAAACACGATCCATGATATAATTACCAGGTATACAAACAACCGTGCTAGAAATCAGTTTTGATTGAACACATGTTTTTAAATCTTGATCAATAGTATACATTATTTCATCCTTTATATTTTCGATAATCCACATATTTGACTTTTGTTGATCAGGTAATGTTATTGATAAACCTTTCATTCCAATCATACCACGATCTGCATCATATGTTACATTATAAGATGACTATTTCATCCATAAAATTATTATATAAATGAAAATATTTCATTAATAAATGACTTACATATGAACTATATGTTTCGCTATCAGGCAAAGCATAACCAACAGATATAATAATTTTTGAACTATATTGTTTTGGAAAACAACAACGTTCAGGTTCATTTTTAAGTAATGATGTTGGTTTACCATCCAAACTAGCTATGACAATAAGAAGAGTGACAAAGACACTATTGTAATACATCATGGTCTTATTAGTTGAGTCGTTTTCAAAATGAAAGTTATTGAAAAAACTAATTTGATTTATATAGGAATGTAACCTATGAAGGTAAATATTTGCTTTTTTTTGGTTATGGTGAATATACAATATATCGTTGTTAATATCTAAATAGTGATTGTATTTCGCATGCTTTTATTCTTGATATGAAGGCATTTAAAAGAAGCTATAATAAGAATAAGTCAAAATAACTATGAGTGAAGACAAGGACATTGTTTAATAAAACAAATTTTTGATCTTGACTTTGTTTGATATATAACAAATGAATGATAATGTACATGACATGAATCAGATAACATTGAGAAGATTTTTATTTATCGTAGGATTAGATAAAGGTCTTTATCTGATTATTTAGTTAAAGATTTATTTAATGAATTTTCAAAATTGATTTAATAACGAATGAATTTCGAAGTAGACTATGAAAAAGTTTTATATCAATTTTTAATAAAAATTTGCACATCCATCTTTGATAATATCTTTATGAAATTAATAGAAGATCATAAATCGTTAAAGAAACTAATCTCATCTTTTTTTAAACTGTAAGAGTCTTTTCATTGTCTAAAATTTTTGTTTTCTTCTAACAATAATTTCTTTCGGACGTACAAAATATGTTAATCATTGAAATATACTATAAAATTGAACATAATAAAAATTTTTGAAACTACTTTTTTTTCATATACGTACTTTCCAAGATTTTCTCAAAAAATCTTATTTGCTTTCTACTAAAACATTAATGTTTAGGAAGAAATCTTTCACTAAAATAAAATATTATCATCCATAATATAATAATACATAAATCGAATCTATTTTTTAACAATATTTAACTGAAATAAAGTAAAGTCCTATTGGAAGAAAATCAGCAAGAAAAAGTCGCGATAAATTTTTTCATATTTCTTGCTATGAAAGAAAGAGAACAACCAAATGATTCAATCCGATCAGTGGGATCTTATAGGTAAATGTTGGATTCTATGACAGATCTAGTCGGCTTTTATGTCAGATTTCGGAACACATTAAACTGGAAACAGACCAGCTCGATTTTATACATTTGAAAAATCACGTCATTCAGTGTTTACTCATTATGACTGTACTCACTTTTAGAATAAGGAACTGCAATTCTTTACCAATCCTCGCTTTGATCCAATACATAACCAGTAACAGATGGGCATTTAATTCGCTGAAGTTTCATGAATTTAAGTAAAAAAAAACGAAGTGAAGATGTGCGATCAATTGTGTAATAGATATAAGATTAGATCAACATAATCGATCCATCATTATCAGAAAAACAGAGTTTTCCTTTTATTTAACCTTTGAAAAACTTTTTCCCTTTGACATAATTCATTCTAAATAAATTATAACTCATTATTTTAGACGTTTTCTCATGCAATACTCGAATAATGCTGAACTGTCTTGAACAATTGAGCACAACATCGGAAATTATGGTATTCGACAGCTTCATCTGCTTGAAGCATAATTAAATAAAAAAATAAATCACTAAGACGATGCCTTCTCCATGAAAGCTCTTACCACTTAATCATGATCAAATGCACACACTGTTAAAACTAAGTTTAAATAACGATGAGATCCCTAAAATATTTGAATTCATTGAGCTATTTCACGTCAATGATTGCATTTTGAAGGTTGTGCTAGAGTCTGATCAGTGCTATCATTCAATACGGCGAATTTCGATGATTTCCGGGCATCGAATAATCTTGAATGGGTGCGGATATGGTTGTCGCCGTGTATGCTGGTGTCGGTAGTTGATCGACCTATGCATGATCTTTAGTAATAGTTACATGCCCACCCTGTTCACATTAAATATTTATTTTCTTAATTGGACTAGACTCAAATCACACCCACTGAAGT